ATTAAATAAATAATAATATATAGTATATATATATATATATATATATATATATATATATACATATACATATATATATATAAATATATATTTATATATATATAAAGATATAGATATAGATATAGATATAGATATAGATATAGATATAGATATAGATATAGATATATGCATATTTGCATTTATGCATATATCTTCTTTTTCTTTTGTATATGTAGCGTACTGAACATATATGTTCAAATGAAAGTGTCGTGTCTCGGTCTAGGTTACCATGTCATGCAGCTAGAAATATGTATATAGTTTTCTGGTACGTTTTCTTGTGTGTCGCACAAATAGCCGTACGTGGTCATTTTCGTATTTAATTTCTTGCATGTCATGCAGATAGAAGTACTTTTAGAGTTTTAGGCTTGTTTTATATATATTTCATTGTGACATTTAGTTTAACACTTGTTTTCATTTCTTACTTTAACCCAAATTCTGCTCGTTTGCTATTTGGTAGAGGGACCATAGCAGTCGGCTGGTCTGTGATCTTGCCTTCACTAAGGCTTCGTTTCTTTTAATAAATGGTTATTCTAAGCCCACTTCTCTCACGTACCTCGACTCTTGTTGACACTAAGCACAGCAAGGCAACACCTGCTCGTAATTGTAGTGAGGGACTAGTTCATACAACACATTTTTCAGTTGGCCGAAGCGGCTACCATTTTTCCTTACTACTAGTCAATTATACCAGTGAAAATGTACCATACTCACTAGTTGCTGTGTTCGTTGGGTGTGCATCGTGGCTACTTCGAAGCCATTGTTGTAACTATGACCCACATCGTCTCACAGACAGCTGTACAAACAAACAGTACCATACATACATTTTGGTCGACAACTATGTTATTTTTTGGAAATTCTTATTAATCACAATACCGCTTCCTTTTCATTTCGACTTGTAGTTGTTGAAGCCGGAAGGGATCTGACATATCTGGGTGTCATCATATTTGGTGTTGGGCTCACGGGTAAGTCATGTCTTTTGCCTACCTCTGAATTCACATTTCGAACATGAACCTTTAAATCGTACCAGTGTCCTATTTTTGTTGTTGTTGAAGCCGATTAGATTGAATTTCTCTGATGCCTCATTCTAGTATTGATGCTTATGCGCAATTTCGTCTCTAATACCTCTCTTTAACAGGTGTCTTCGCGTACAGTGTGTTTGGCGAGTTATTCGGCGGCTCAACGCCCAACGCCTTGTATTCCACTTCTGTTAAGCGTATCCGAGCGGACGAGAGGGTATGTTTTGATGCACAGTGCGTGCGTATTTTTATACACGCGATTATCCCATCATACATTTTTGCTATTGTATCACAATGGGTGTGTACTGATGCTATATTATTTGGTGGCATTGTTACACTGGACTTCCGTGGTCTAATGCGATCGTTTGAGGTTGCTGTTTACTGGTTTATGGCTATAATAGGGCACTGATGCATTATTAGCAATATGCGTGCCCTACTCACCCTGAATTCGAGAGCATTTCGGTTTGCTATGTATAATATTGACTGTGTAGCATTCAGTTGTGATCTCACTTAAGTTGTAGTTTTGGCGGTTTCATTATTTTAAATTGTACACAACCTGCTTGTACAGGCAAAAACCCTACTTGGAGACAGCATCAAGGCTTATGGAGAGGAAACTCGCCGGGGTCGCCGGCGCCACTTGACGTAAGTGGTCAACGTTTTTTTCCTTGCGAGCTTTTATACGCACGTTTATTGTATTTCTTGTCGACACCAAGCCACAAGACGAATTCGATTATATACACTCAGGTACCCTCTTATAGCTACTGCTCGCGGGTTCCTTATACTGCTCTGTACTCCCTTGACGATTCATATAGTCCTTTTAATCGCTTAAGAATTCGATGTATATCTGAACTCAACACGTTGGTTCTCTTCTTCACTCACTATTCAGTTCTCAAGAGTATGAGGTAGAAGGTGAGGTATACCTGCGAATGCGCTTCTATGTGGAGGGCGAGCGCAATGAAGGCACCGTGCATCTGGAGGTGAAGAAAAAAGGCCGCACTGGATTCGAGTGGCGATACTTAATGATCGAAATTCCAGGTGTGTTCATGCTACCGATGTATCTAATCGAACTATAGCAATGGGGTTGATGATGTGTACATGTGTACATGTTTCACGTTACATGGTCAATGAACATTGTTTACTCATAGATAGATACGCATATGTATAAACCTGAATATACAAAAGCGCATATGACTTCTCTGCTAATCAGACTTATTTTACATCGTCATAGACCAAATATTTTCATCTTATAAATTCTTCTAGGTGTTTGCAAAACCATCACTTTTGCAGATATGCATAATCCCGTATGCATACCATGAATATGTATTGTGTATTTATGCTTTTCTGATATTGTAGATTGCACTCATTTCGAGAGAAAAAGGAAGCGTATCAGTTTTAAACCCTGATCATAGTGCACTTTATGTTTGACCTAGGTTGTGAATCAGTCAGGCATATTTCGATAGTTATGACTTGGTATTCTTGCTTTATCGCTTTACTATCACGATTTCAAATGTACTAAAAACGGTTGGATTATATCTTTCAATTCACAGGTAACGGCCTTCCGTCGGAGTTCGTTGTGATGGAAGACAACAGGTGATTAATTCGGAGGATCTCTCGTGTTGTGTCTTATCCCCAGCGCTAATGAAGTCGTCCTGGTAATCCTTGTAAAGAATATTACGGTCGCTAGAAGGGTCTTCTAATATATAATTCAGCCTAATTGGAAAGCTATAAATCTCGATACTGTACATTCCTGTCTCTTTATGAATCATACTGTGCCATGCGGTATAGCAATAGCATCTGAAGCAAGCTACGCTTGCCAAAATGCAGTTCGTGTTCTCTAGCGTTTAATACGATATCATGAACGCTTATGCAAATGTATTCATCTCAATGCCAAGTTTCATTTGCTACACGTTTAATAGCAAGTGCTGAATTTTACGTGCCAGCTTGTCCTCATTATTGGCTTGCGAGGTCTCTTTTCTCAGGAGCTTAATATAAGGCAAGTGTTGCACACTCCGCGAGTGGAAGAGAAAACAAGCGTTTCCCAATGCACCTTTTCGCTGTGCATTTCTTTCTCAGTCGGCGCATAAGCTGTTCCCTTTGCATCTTCTATTATTGTAAGTATCGCTTCAAAGGCTCTGCTAGTATGGCTAAGTGTAGTACACTCAGTATTGTTGAACATTATCACACAGCAACAAATTGTTGTAGTCATATAATTAGCATTACAGATGTGACGGTATGACCGCTAACCAAATCGTGTGTTCCCTATACACCGTCCTGGAAAAGTGTAGGACACTCCTCATCGCTAAGGATTTAACGCAACGATAAAATCATTAAATAGGCATGCAGTTGTGGCCTTACATCCACCAACCCAATCTTGTGTTCTCATTCTACTACCATCGAGTATTTCTAGACAGGCTCCGCTATTCTGACCAATTCGAGACACTCATGTATGCTACAAATGCGGCGCGATAGTCTTTCACCAACCGACAACTGTCGTATGGGTGTCCCATAACACATTCGTCTCCAATGCCTGCGCAAGTGACGGAAGTAATAGATGGAAAATACGAATTCCACTGACTTGATGAGACTGGCAAGTTTACTATCTTTTTGTTCCGCTTAACTATAACCGACTTAACGTATCACTATATCGAACATTTACTAATACGGCGGCCATAGCCGATGATTATAAATAAAGGATGCCGAGGGTTCGACCTACAATCACTACTATCTAGTTACATCCTTAAATTTCTGGATATCACAGCTGGTGAACGTCCCATATCTGGATCTGACCCTATTTGCGTTCTTTCGCTCGCTTCACCAGTAAGGTCAATACCGGGTCTGATATATATATGAAGCCGACGTAGCTCCCACAGCCATATCGTGCGATCCAGGTACAACAAACAACACCACTGTGCTTGCGAGGTGCCATCAGTGCTGACCTGCTACCACGCGACATCTTGTCGAACAGATCTATTATGATAAGTTTTGCATCATTTGGGCAGCCGATTTTACGCCAAGTCTGGCTGGTTTGACTAAGAATTGAGTCGAAAGCTCTACAACAGGTTCCCACAGTAATTCTGAAGCAAGTGTTATCGTCATATTTTCATGTCAACTCTTTATTGTGTCCCGTACGACCTAACTACTTCTACCAGTACTCGGCAGCAACAGATCGGGAAAATCTGCCATCGATACCGGTAGCATAAACGACTGTCAGATAACCGTCTACTGGAAACCAAGTTCTTCGGGTGTGGAGACTCCGTTCTTGTCTAGGGTGGGTCGAAGTTGCTCGATCATGTAATCGTAATCGGCCTGGGTAGCGACCTATCAAGGGCGTGATAAGGTTCGTTAATTATCTGTACTGAGGAGTTCTCAATCCACGAGCGGCGAAAGTTTGGTAATTTATATTTGTTTGAGATCAATATCTCGCGAAGCCTCGACTATGCATGAATACATACCTACAAACTTTAGCCGTAACGATATATCAGTTTGGACACACCAACTGTACTACAACACACACGTGGTGGAAGCCTGCTTGCGGAAAATCCATCATATTTTATCAGAGACGTGTGAGGCAACTTGCATAGAAACTCAAAACAGCACTCATGGTGTCATACATGATAAGAACGACACAGGTTACAACGACAATCGACACAACTTGACGCTCTATACCTTCTCTCGAAGACCCTCCATGATACGGACAGATGTTCCGAAGGAGTTGACACGACGGGAAGCCTCGATAGCAGCCACCAGAATCTCGACCTCAGGTACCAAATCGTGTGCGAACACATCGTTCAATCCACGGTGTAAGACCTGTGTTCGTAATTATAAAGTGAAGATATATTCACACAAATATCACATTCTGATTTCGACCTAACAAAATAAAAAATTTGCTGAATTTGTGAACACATCAAGCATCGTCGTACAGATTGCATAGCAAGTACTAAGGCAAAAAGCGAGCAACAAGTCACAGTATAGTTGATATCTAAAACTATTCGGTACATTTCAGTAAACAAAATCATAGAAAGCCACAGAACCCACGCATCAAACGATACCTTCTTTCTGATATTCTCGGCCTCGAAGAACTGAACCCACTTCTTGTTCCACGCATCTCCATATTCTTCGTGATGGGCGAAGCGCTTCGCAACAACCACTGAGGGTCCTGAAATGAATTGAATAATGAGATGATTGCACATATGAGAACGCTGAATCGCATCAAGCTTGGTCGGAAACCATTAGTATCACAGTTTAGTTGAAATTGAGTTCGCACCAAGTCACTGAATCGATTTATAATCGAACTTGTCTGCAAGCGCCAAAAAATGTATATCATAAAGGTACAGCTTTTCCTGATATACAAGTTTAGTAAATGTGTATAATTGCTTAAATATTCTCGCGATTTCTACAACATACAACATAACACTCATCGTATATAGAGTAATGTACGAGTACAACACATTCAGATCCACATATATGGATATAGATATAAAAATAAGTACACAAAACAAACTACCAACATGACACCACATGCTTAAGCACATTTATAAATATACATACAAACACACACACTGAATCTATGAATAAACCCTAAATGTGTGCACACCACAATTAGGCATGTACATGTATGTATTCCAAATATGCATCTCGAACTATATATGCGTGTATGAGCTTGTGACTTGATTTAATTTCGCTCTAAAAGGATTGAGAACATGATTGCGCACATGTACAACCACTGTGTACGTTCGTTTTACATACATGCGTAATAAGACCCATATTTCTGTATACTGGTAGCTGAAAATCAAATCATATACAGATAGTGCTGTTCCTATTCCTATAGTAACACAATATACACCAACACACAGATATATATACAAACACATATAAACACATTCATGCTCACATACATACAATCCCTCGTGCATATATTTATGTCCAAGTTTTATATACTTGGATTTATATTTACATACACATACACAGAGACACACACACTCCTATATATATAGATATTTAAGGAGACAAAACCGTGGTATCCTAAATATCCTGCAGACGCATATGATGGTGTAAGCGTGTATATGCACGCTTAGATCCAGGGGATTTTGAGTTCAACAAAATCAAACTTAAATAAGTATTGAAGAATAAAGTCAAAGTCCTCATATACGTAGTCAACGGTTCATATGAGCCCTTCGAGAATAGTGTCATACTCACGGTGGAAACTCAATGATTGATCTGAGTGGCTACAGGTAGAAAGTGCCACATAGCAAGAAAGATGTCATTTGCAGGCGTACATCGAATATGGATGAAAATATACAGGATAAAGCGAAGCCAAGTGTCTAAATACATGTACATACACATATACATATAATAGAAGCACTTCCAGGGCACATAGACACCGGGGGACCGTGTCGCATGCCAGCACAATACCAGAAGATGCTACTTTAGTATTGAACATCTTCACTCCTAGACGACCCTTCTGGCACTTACTTTGCTTTATGATATATTTTTATGATATGAAAATGTAGAATATATAAAGCATGCGACCTGACAACAGTATAGCGCAACAAGCCCCGGGAGTAACCCACAACCCACTCCAGTAAATTACATTCAGCACTTCATAAAATATATAAAAACAAACAAACCTGCAGCGGTTCGCATGGACGAGCTCATAACGGGGGCCAAAGCCCTGAAGGCGACAAGTGCGTTCATATTTCTACTTCACGAGATGGCAGCTATACTGTTCTAAACGTGTATGCGAAGGGGATGCTGTCTAATCTACTAAACTTATAAAACACCCTGTGTGTTTAGCACACAACAACGGGAATATTTTTGTTCAGTGTTCATTGCTCAATTCAGTAAAGCACATCCCTCTCTCTGAGTAGAGTACACGGAGCTGGGACTGGGACAATAAACCCTCGTCAGTCCCAATTCCAGGTCACACTATTACTGACCACCCGACACCTAAAAATATCAAAAGGTCCTTCCTTAAAATGGAACACGTCTGATTTATTTTTAAAATTATTAGGTCATACCTATTTCCAAAAAAAAAACGAAATGAACGAGGATATAAATAGAAATTTGAACAGGGTTTTCTCGAAATATTTTACTGTAGGTATTTCAACACGCAAAATTGGTGTAGGCTATGGAAGTCCATATTTATTCCATGGCCTCCTACCAGCCTCCAGTGTCCAGGACTCCAGACCTCGTTAAAAGAATAAACGTTTTCAAGTTATACACTGTTACGTATTACCGGTATCATGGTATGGGATTTAAGGTTTTAGGGTTGACCTGCATTTAATAAGGTTCAAGGTTAGGACCTTGGACCTTGTAGTATATCATGAATTCATGATATGTAAAGTGCCCCCGTGAAACCGTACTTTTTAGCTGCTTCACAGGTTGCTAAAGCATAGCATTGCAGCAATCGCAGGTTGCGAAGGTATTTTTCATTAGTGGCCCGCCCTTCTTTAATCTTAGTTGCGCAAAGATGCCGTACATGGCTCCTGATCAGTACTCAGATGCGGTTCTGCAGTCTCTCCAGATTGGCAAGGTCTTCAAACACCACACGGAGACTACTTTCAATTCAATGGACTTCTCACAAGACGGATCCCAATTGGTGTCTGCTACGGATGATATGACTATACATCTCTACGACTGTATGCAGGGAACGTACGTGAATAAACATGGTTGACAAAAGCCCAAATAGATAGGGTGCTTGCCCAATTGTTGGTCCCGCACTGGCCTGCCCACATCGCACAGAGACTAACGTAAGGTTGCTACTGAAGGCAAAAGCATATATGCAGTACTCGTCACATCAGCGTGCACAAATATAAACTCATCAATACGTATAGAATATGC